CCTTACATACTCGGTACATTATTTCATACTGACGTCGCATTCCTGGGGACACTGCATTTCATGTATGCAGGTTCAGATAGATAGACAGATAAACCTCCTCCGTAGGTGCTGTCCGTGATCAGCTTGATAGGTAAGCTCCGCGTACTTCGGAGTTGCCGGATATAAGGTTTTTAGTACATATTGTGTATATATTATGGGTAGGTCGAGGCCCTATTCCGACCATAGTACATCCATCAGTAGAGGCTTGTAGACATATTTTGCCAGTTAGTGCAGTATGTTGGGCTTGTAGGACTTGTATTTATATTTTTGTTAGCTTGTGAGTTGTAGTAGTTATGACGGCCTTGTCGGCCCATCTTTATATTGATGTTCAGTCAAAGCTATTTTCCATTCAGTTTTTCATTTTGTTTCACAAAATGTCTTGCAACATGGCCCTATGGCAACGGTTATTTTGTAATAGGAACGGTTTAATAGCTAAAGTGTGCTGATATCANAATAGCTAAAGTGTGCTGATATCGTTCTAATGCTACTGTAACGGTTGTAACCGTTATAATATCCACTCTATGGCAACGGTTTCTTAATCGTTGCGACAGTACCTATTGCCATAGGCCTATTTCCATTAGTGGTAANATATATATATAGAAAGATAAATCAAAGGCTGAGCTGAGACTAAACTCATTTGATTGCTTGGGTGGCAAGAAATATAGTCACTTTTTCTCGTTTTCTTTTTGAAACATAGTTAATCACGCATCAACAACATATACTATGACTTAAATAAAGATTTATTAGAAAAACTTAAGGATTATGTCACAATGGCCAATCAACAAGCTACAATGCAACATATATACATTAAGTATTATTGAAAGACGCGGGTTAGATAGTTTCTGTGAAATTACAATATTAATCTCCATTGAATTACCCTTGTAATTTTGATGATTATAATTATAAGGTGGTGGAAATGGTCAATAAACACCGTTTGCCTATATATATTTTCCTTGACAAATTCATTTCCATCACAAATATTCTGATTTAAAGCAACTCTCCTCCGACATCTCCTAATTAATTGTCCTAGATCTCGCTTTGGTGTATATCAAGAAAAGAATCTCCAGTAATAGAAAGGAGGTAAGCTTCTTTGCTTCTTAATTATTTAATTTCTTGATGTTTTTCAGAATTTAACTATAGGCATTAAGCATACATCGGTTTTCTGCTAAAATATCATGTATATTGAAATCTACTACCGTCATATGTAGCCTTTTCTTGTAGTAGTGTTGGCAATAGACCTTCCAACAACAACAATAACATATTGTTCCCACAAGTGGGATCTGGGAAGGGTGGGGTGTACGCGGACCTTACGCCTACCTTGTATGAGGTAGAGAAATTGTTTTCGATAAACCCTCGGATCAAGAAAAATATTTTCAAAATAAGTTAGAAAAATATAAGAGTAAAAAAAATTAAGATGGAAATATTGATGATAAAAAGTATTGACAGCAAAACAGTACGGTAATCCACTTTCCAATTTGTACTTTTTCTTTTTTACAAAATACAATGTTGTAACACAGCCAATATCTTCATGATACAGTAGTTGCAGTTACAGTTATTGATCGCAATCCATCTATCCTTTTTTACACTTTTTTCTATAATTTTCTCACTGAATTCATGCATAAACTGGAAAGGTCATAGCTAGAGTCTAGAGATCGTATTGGATTTTGAGAAAGGGGATAGCTAACCTTTTTCTTTAATTTTCTCTATTGGATAATATTTTCAGTTATCTTAATGCCGTTTCTCAGCTATTTTTACCTTTTTTCCCCAGGAATATTATTTTTGAAGAAACGCAAAAAAAGGACATACATATTTGTTGATGTTGAAAATGTCACATCCTTTCAACACCTTTGCTCTCAAGATGAAAGTACACTGCAGGGATTGTGAAAAGAAACTGAAAAACGAGCTGCAAAACATTAAGGGTGTTCGTTCAGTGGAAATTGATCAAAAACTTGGGAAAGCAATCATCTCAGGCAAAGTAGACCCTGCAAAAATCCTAACCAGGCTTGAAAAGGTTGGGAGAGAAGCAGAATTCTGGTGTGAACAAGAACATCGTCGTAAAGATATTAAGATTGTAACACGATCAAAAGTGATTGATCCACTGAATGATCCTGACATTATGGCAGAACTGGAGCAATTTTCTGACCCCAGTTATGAAATTGTGGAGGTGAACAAAACTATTAAGGCGATTTTCAAAGGGGAATCAAGAAATGGTGGCCCTAGGGACAAAATTGTGGAAATTACCACTACCAAAAATGTGAAAAAACATCAAGATCAAGTGCTTACACATAATCATGATTGTTCCCACAGTGGTGGTGGACTTTGTGCTGCCTCTTCATCATGTTGTGGTGGTCACTCTGCTATAAATCATAATCTTGATTATAGATGTTGCCAATACGGTAATGCTACTAGTTTGGGTCCTTGTTGTTCACATGGTAGAAACTCATGTTATTACCACTGTCCATATGGTAATAGTTGTGCACATAACAGAAACTCAAGTTATAATTGTCATTGTCAATATGGTAATACTACTAGTTATGGTTCTTGCAATGCAAATAGCAACTCAGGGCCGATATGGTCAAATGATAGTATTCCTTCGGCTCCACCTTTGCCAGATGATTACAATTATAAGGCATCACCATCACCACCATCCTCGGCAAGGCCTCCCCCCTATTACAGTGTCTTAAGCGATGAGAATGTGAATAGCTGCACAATCCTTTGATTTGCGCATGTTTTATTTAATAAAAGAGAGTTATATGTAAATTTCTCTGTGTGTGTGAGAGAGAGAGAGAGAGAGTGTGTGTGTGTGTGTGTGTGTGTGAGAGAGAGAGAGAGAGAGAGAGAGAGAGAGAGAGAGAGAGAGAGAGAGAGTGTGGAGTAGTTCATGTATATAATTACTTTTGTGTAACTACCTAGTTTGTAATTTTGCTCCTTGTGTAAATATTCACTCTACATCTCCACCACTCCTTGTGTAACTAACAGTTGCTTTCCTTTTCTCTGTTTTTCCCCCTTCTTGTGTTTGCTCTAACAACGGTCACAGAACATTGATTTCCACAGAAACAATGTTAGTTTTTCTGCCAAACTTTTCAAGAGCATATAATTTTGGGCGTCATAGCTGTATGAACTTTGAGGCTAAATATGGAGATGATCAATATCTAAACATGAATAAGACCCTTTTTCTAGTTTCTAAACAACTAAAATTAGTGTGGGGCATGTCCATCTACCTAAGAACTCGGAGAAATGGAGACAAGAAACAAATGGGAGGAGCCAAGTCCATAATAGATGCTTCCCCAAAGTTAATCGTCTAGTTGAGATCTTCACTTACACCGTAGTAAAGCAAAGCCGACAAACGATCAGACTTCGGTAACATCTTCACACACTAGTTTGCTAGATTCTTAAGCTAAATGTTCGTATTCCAGTTTATATTTTTCCCATGGGCTACTGTACCACGTCTCTTATGTATAAATCACCTGGACCATGTTCTTAGTTCAATGTATATAGTAGTGGAACAACTTCCTTACATTTCGATTTTGTTGCATTTGGAGATTGTGTAAATGAAAAAAAAACGAGTTCTATAATTTTCGTAAGTAATATTTATACACGGAAAATAGGGACATAGAACCCATCTAACCTGTAGATCCAGCAAAGAGGGATCATCAGAGCCTTGCACAGCTGAAATAGCCATTTATATCAAGCTGGATACAAAAGCATCCTACATGGTCAGGTTGAAAGTGCTAATGGATGAAGAAAAACAATAAAGATAGTACATGAACGACGATTTACAAGCAATCAAGGTAAAAACGGTTAAGTTGGAACTTGGCAGGATTAAAAATTTGCATGCTTTAGCTTTAGCCAAGTACTCTAATGATACAAACAGGAGAGTATCGAGAAGCACATCCCTTATATTGGATTTCACCATCAGAGTGAATGTAGCTCTGCGCAAAAATTTGGAGAAGGTTGCTGCACGGGGACAGAGCCATCTTCATCCCGAGATTGTGTTAGTATGTCCTGTCCAAGACAGAAAAGGCAACTTGAGATCATCACTCCAACTGAGCAATCACAGAAAAATTAATGGCAAAAAAATATTGGCATGAAAGCTATCCTACAAAGAATATGTAATAATTATCTCTTAAAAGATGGAACAATGTATACCTATAAATTGCAAAAAGAATCTTGCTGCAGCTCAAAAATTAGTGGTAATTTCAAATCCTTGGGAAACTTGCAGCTTAAACCCAGACAAGTTAGACATGCGGGGCAGATGAATCATTGTTTAACCACTATGATGGAAAAATAAGCAATACCTGTGCTTGTAATAGCTGATTAGGTTGTTGATCTTGTGCCAATGAATATGCCTGTGGTTGGGACATCCGGTAATATGGTTCCTTCAGATCAAGTTTTCCGGATGATGTTTGGAGCACATCTCCAACAGTAGCTATTCAAATTGATCAATGATATGTTAGATTCTTGCAGAAATCTATCAGCAAATTCGACTTCATGGGACAAAGAGACCAACAAGATACGATACAAATGCGACAAACGACAACGATAAAGACCTACCAGACAATCTTAGATAAATTGTGTAACTTTGTGCCTTATGGGAAACCAGGCGAAGGCGGCCAGTTATCTCCTGTCCTGGCATGACATAAAGTGGCTGTGACAACACGCACCGAAGCTGATACCAGTGAGTTGTAGGTGCACCGGGAGCCGTGGTCAGCCACCTCGGTACAGTGCTGCAGAAAGAAATGATGCAATTTACTGCAAAATAGCAACAAGATCCACCGCCAAGGATGCAAGAATAACAAAAGTTTACCTTCCATTAAAAAGTACATCAAACCAGCAAGCCAGCCCATGAATTCTAGTGCTAGCAGAAGATGTAAATCTCAATGGGATGTCAATTTCATATAGATCTTCTTCCTGTAATATAAATGTAGAAAAAGATCATTTCACCCAGCAGTATATTTCAAGAACTTCTGGCCAGAGACTGGGTACAATGCAAGAATGTAGTTTGCTAAATGACCTGATTTTTCAACAAAAACCATTGCCTCATATATGAGTAATTCCACCACATATAATTTTTCCCTATCAAACCCGACTCCACAAATAGGAATTTGTTCATTTTAAGAGACAAGAAAGCATGTATATAGTGGATACTAATCCGCAAAAGTAGAAGGAACAGCTATTTTATGCATATTGCTTCCAATAACTTTGTATATCTGTTGGTTATGCTTTTCTTTTTTTGTGAAAAAATGTTTGTATTTTTATAGAAAACTGTCTTAGATTCCTTAACATTGAATTTGTAGGATGCTCTTTACTCGTCGAGAAAAACATATAGTAAAAGCCTATAGAATAAAGGATGTTTCTATCAACTCTGATCTACGAACAACCTACAGAATGAAATTTCTGATAATACCTTTATCGAAGTGAAGTTAATCACGTGAGATATTGCAGGAGCTACCAATAATCTCGGATCAAAAGCATCAACCACTGGCTGCAAAGAATATGAATATTCAAATTAAAGAAAGAATAAATTAGCTGTACTAACAATGTCTAAAGGGATGATGAGAAAACCAAGTATACCACAAACAGAGCCCTTCCTAATAATTAAAGCTACAAGTATTCCATCACAATTCTTTCCAGCTGATGAGAATATCTACTGCATCTTAAGTTATTACATTACTAATTATTGCATTTGAAAGAGTGTACAGTTATTTTATTCATGCAACTGGTATAGGACAGCTCGATCAAATTAAATTAGCCCCTTCTACCACACCTTGGTAATGAACTACAGCAATACCTCTCTCTAACACCTATTCTCAAGTTTAGGAAACTAAATACAAGACATTGGGGTGGGGGGAAGGGGTAGTTTCAGCACATACAACTGTGACTTTGACTATGAAATTCAACTTGGATGCTGAAAGATGCTTCTTAGTACAGTACATCAAATTAAGGGCCATCAAAGTCCATCAATGGTTAAGAAATTATTCGAGCATTACATCAAATTAAGGGCCATCAAAGTCCATCAATGGTTAAGAAATTATTCGAGCATTACATCAAATTAAGGGCCATCAAAGTCCATCAATGGTTAAGAAATTATTCGAGCATAAACTTGTTTAGGTTCTCCCTTCTCTTTCTAAGAACTAAAAATTGTTCAACAATATAGGCATTTATGAAGAATTGTCTGAAATTCTGAAGGTTGAATTGTAAAATTTACAAGTTCAGCATAGACTGCACATTCACAAATTTAAGTAACCAAATAACATTAAGACCATGGACAACACGGGACTATGGAAGTAAACAACTACGACTGTTTTAAATGCTTACTAAGTCGAAGTGAATAATTCAGAGGCCGAGTTAATAAATTCCTAATATGTATGAGATTGACCTGAGAAAAGTATCCTTCATATGCAGATCTCTGCAAGGGTGTCAAATCAACCCCAAAATAGCCCTGTTGCTGCCAAAAAATAGCCTGTATGACAAAGTTAAACTAAAATTAAACTCTTTTCACAACGAAACTTAATATAATCACTAATGTAAGATTCATCCCTATAAATAAAATATAAGCCTTCAATTGATAATATTTTTAAACACTAACGCGAAAAAAAAAATTGGACATTGAGATCTTTGTAAAAGAAACTCCTCTTCATATAGCACCCACCATCCTCTTCCAGAGGGGGAGAGACCCAGTTTAGAAAGAAACTGTCATAGAGGAGATACACCCAGAGAGTAACAAGACAGTGATATGATCCAATGTACCTTGTTTGCAATTTCCATATACAAATATTCGTCACTGAATGGTGCCACGTGTATTCTACAAAAATAAAGAGAAACATCAGCTGGAATTTGGAAAATTAACTCATATAACAAACCACGGAGCAAAAGGAAAAACTGAAAAGGTTACATGCTAGTTTATGTATCACAAACTCAGGAGGGACTTGGGAGAAGTGCAAAATGTTTCTTTTAATAAAGAATTCGAAAGACATGTAAAAGCAATTGGAAAAGAAAGAATAAGGTTTTCAAGGAAGTTCGAAACACATGTAAAAGCAAATGTAAAACAAAGGATAAGGTCTTCTTTACAGAGATTGGATTTGGGAGAGGGGCAGCAGCTTGGTTAACTGAATGGTACGACTATAAAACATAAAAAGCAGTGGACAGCTGCATTGAAGCATATTCGTGGACACCAGACTGAGAATTAAGCTTGAAAGCTCGTCTCAAGTAAAAAAAAAAGGAGAATAAAGTAGACAACTTGAGCTTCCCACGTTTTGCAAGTCAATTTTAGTTATATCATTGTACCCGACCTCCTAAATGATACACAGAAGGAGCAAGCTGATAGCTTGAGCTGGAAAGAAAATAGTCTATGATACAAAAATCTATTAAAAGATAATGTGTCAAATGTCTGGTGGTAAAGAGGTAAAGCACCGGATTTGGGAAATAAGTGTAAGAAACAAAGAACCTCATAAGCAAACTATTAATCAAAAAAGAGAAAAAAGAACCTCATAACCAAACTATTAACTTCATAAATGATTTGACACGGAAAGACTCCTCAAAATTGACAGGAAAGAAAATTACCTTCCTACTGTAGGAAACATTTTTCCATTTGGAACTAGAAATCGATCTCTAGCAATCACATAAGACTCTAGCATTCTTTCATTAACTAACAAAGTACCTGCAAAGTAAATTCAACATATCACACCCAGCAGGTTTAAACCTGTTTCATTTGGATAATATAATCACAGGATTGTGGTTGGTTTGGATTCTGAGATAACATGCTTCGCCATATTTTCAAAGAGTACCTGAACTCTCGTCAGGAAAATATAAAGGAATGTTCTTTTATAACGAAAAATAAAAAAAAGGAAACTTAATAGCACTCATAATACAAACAAAGCAAAAGTATCCATGTATAAGAGACTTTCAAGCAGGTTTAAACCTGTTTCATTTGGATAATTTAATCACTGGATTGTGGTCAGTTTGGATTTTGAGATAACATGCCTGCCATATTTTTAAGGATTAAAACCTTGAACTCTCTTCCAGAAAATACAAAAAAGATGTTTTCTATAATGAAAAATGTAATAAGGAAACTTAATAACATTCATAATACAAGGAAAGCAAAGCGTTTATTGTCACCAACAGATATGTGATAGTCCCTTCTTTTTTTCTTTTTTCTTTTGGGTTGGGGGAGGGGAGGATGGGATGAGGGATGCTGGGCTAATATTTCACTAATATTTTACAGGAAATGGACAAGGCATCCTCTCCTCAAGTCGTATATAACTTTGGTAACAGATATTCCGATGATTAAGAAAATTAAGAAGTCTAAGTTTCACAAGAAAAAGCATGTAATTCAGAATACTAAATACAATCAATTGATGGGTAAAGGCTACAAAAAGAGCACTACTAACATGGAAGAGTTTCTAATTTCGAAAGGGCAAACTGCAAGAATATTTCGTTTCAGTTAGTTATCAAGTTCCGTTGCATGAATCTGCAGATGCATAATACTATAAAGGACATCATTTCATAATCATTTCATATGCATCTGCTTTTTGTCGCTTGAAACTTTGAGCAAAATTTTGTTTCTCGAGCAAAGAAAAGGACTAGCATATATAAGAACAGTAGGCGAGAAAAGGACCAGCATATATAAGAACAGAAGGCGCTTAGAAACAGGGGTGCATCTCAGAAGAATTCAATGAAACAAATACTGAACAATGAGAACTCAAAAACGAATTTGGCTGCAGCCCAAAATGCAGTAGAAGTGTTAAATTCAGTTTTCAACAAGTAAACTAGCAACTTAACTTCTCCCTGATGTATGTGTTCATCTTCTTGAGAGTAGTAGAATTGTTTCCTTGCACATAGGCACAACTTAACTTCTCCCTGATCTTTTGTTTTCATAACATGTGCATAAGCAGTTATTGAAGATGTTGCTGTCGTGTTTTAGTATATTCTCCAGCTTTTAGTAGAGGCACTTGAAACATGTAATACCTACAGGCTTCTTAAATTCCTTTCTCAAATAATCAATCAAATATTTTATAAATATCCATACTAATGATCAGAAAGAATTTTAGCTGTCAACCAGGGGATTTACCACATTTTTTAGCAAAACACGCAGCATTGTCAAAGTATGTCCCCACATAGCTCTATCATATAAGCTTCATAATCCATCAAAATAGATAAGCTTACCCATTGGCTCAGAGATTAAGATATCGGCTTTCACAGGTAACTCTACTTCTTCAACCTTTCCTTTGATTACCTAATCATTCATTGAAAAGAGAAAACCGATAAACAAGGAGCAACCTTAGCAGCCAAGATACTGAAGGAATATATTGTAAAACTCTTTTGAAAGACACCAGAATGAGGAATGTATACTTACTGTAATTCTCTCACTCAACGATGGGTTTCCCGCAATAAGCTTTTTAGCATATTCGGCCATTTCAGATGCCTCTATGGCATAAACATGTTTTGCACCAGCCTGAGAGGGTTTTGTGGAAGGGGAGGAGAGACAGAAGAAAAAAATACAATGTACAAATATCAGTGGAAGTGGCTAAGCTATGGTTCATATCATTCAATGAAACCACATAAACCTCATTGGTACAAAAGAAAACCTGAGCTGCAAATAATGACAAAATACCACTACCAGCTCCAACATCAACCACTACACGACCAAGAAAGTCAGCACGGTTCTCAATTACAGCAGCGTAATAGGTTCCTGCAAGTTTCATATTTACCATTGTCAACCTTCCAATTATTGGATTTAGAATGTTGGGCTCCTTCTTAAGAAAATGTAAAAAGGCAACAGTTTGCAAAACATTCTAGGGAAAAGGAAGTGTGCAACCCTCTCATGAGACTACACGAGCCTCGGGAGATATAAGTACGCATTTGGGTATTATTTTTAAGTTGAAGCTGAAAAAAGAATATTTTCAGGAGAAGTTAAAAGAAGTTTGGACGTGCTGAAGTTGGTGCTTCAACATGAACTTCACTTGGAAAACAATTTGTGAAAGTTAAAGATTTGATAAACTATACTTGACTAACACCTTCAGATACTAATTCAACATTCTATGTGAATATCAATTGATATTTCACTTGAAACACAAAACGCCATGGCCAAGATACTATTCGCAAATAATAACTTCAGTATTTAAAATATTGAAGAAATTATTTCATGGCCAAACAGGCTTAAATAGCCCCAGGTCATGACACAGAAAAGACCAAAGTTCAGAACATTACCTGTCCTTACAAAATCCTGCAACATATTTTGCTGATGCAATAGTTGCCCGTAGTAATGAAAATACATTTTAGCAGAAGATGCCTCTATTTTGTCATCAAATTTACTTTTCGAAGTTGATACTACTCCATTTGGCAGAGGAGACCCTGAAAGGAAGACTTGCAGAAGTTACAATTATTTTTCTTCTCCTTTTCTGGATAAGTTTACAATTATTCGTGGCAGCATTGTTTATCATGTTTAGATCCAGAATTCCATTAGCCTAGTGCTGCTCGTGGAATGAATCATGAGTTCAAAATCTTAAGACTCATAGTGCGGTATTTAGCTCCACAGAGTAGCTGAAACATCCAGACAAAAGTAAAAAATAAAAAATACGTTCTTAGATGCAGCAATCTAAAAGCTCATTCATGCATCAAAACGGGCAACTAACACACTACATTCTAAGTTTTTGACAAGAAATGTATCGCTTTCTTTATCAGTAAGACATTCCTGTTCTGTATATTTCAAAATTCAAAACTAAGAAAGGATAAACATTGATTACACGTAAAAAAAAATAGGTATATGCAGATTCCCTAACTTCCTATTAACCAAAAGAGACCCACTATTTAACTTTTTCGGGTAAAAGTAATGGCTCACAACTAATGTCATCGAGTGGGACAAATTTAGGGAAAGCGATACCCTAATTCAAGAAAATATCAATAATGGGTGGACTATCAATACTAAGATCATGTGGGTAATAGACAATGATGATAGCACTAATGCTAACAAATTAAATGGCTTACAATGCCTCTGATAAAATGTCAAAAAAGTGACTAATAGACTATCTAATTCATTCAATACATCTAAATTTTCAATAATATCTCAATAACATCTTCATTCTGCTAACAAGTGACCTCGTATAGCGTAAAAGAAATTTCAAAATTACAAAAACTTATTTTCGTCTGGAAAAAAATAAAAAGCAACAGAAAAGATGAAACCACAGTTATAAATGAAGAGCAGTTAAAGCATAAATTCTTTCAACAACAGTTCAATAGTAAGTTGGTCAAACATTTCTTTTTTAAATAACACCTCAATAGTAAGTTGGTCAAATGTTCATAACTTAGTATCCACAATCAAAGCTTATCATACAGAAAATAAGAATGCAATTAAAGCTTATCACATAGAAATTGATAAGGTAATTAGAAAAAAATCTCCTTCTAAAGCTCACTCACTAACTATCCTTGAAGTACTCAATATATATCTTACTCCACATTTATCAAGAACCAAAACTGCATCAGGTATCAGATAGTACTTTAACCACCCAAAAAAAGCAGAGAGAGAGTCATTACTAGCATCTCAGTCAGAATCAAGAACAATTGGAGCAAATAATGAAAAGAGTGTGATTGTACTCCACAAGATGTACCGACTAACTTTTAGAGTAATAACAGACATGTCAAAACAGACCTTGAACAACCACTTCTGTCTTCCATTGCTCAAATGCACAATGGAAGGCCCTACTTTCCTCCTCGTTTTTAAATTGAATGGAGATTCCCCTGGAATAGGCTTTCTGATTCAAAATACCAAAGTCAATGCCACAGGACATTAATATGACGGCAACAAACTACACAAATTTAAATCCAATGAAAATATAAATGGGTTGCACCTTTAACTTTCCCCATAAATAACAATAAAATACACACATACATTTACATACTGACACTTGTTTTCAATATGAAGATTGACATCAATATTATGATTGACGCAAGTGTGCGCTATTTCATGTTTCCAGCTATACGCAGAGTTGGACTTAAAGGAGCATGAAGCTGGTAAACCTTTAGCGGACAATCTATTAATACTACTCCAATCATGTAGCTAATATTTATGCCAATCAACCAAGAAACTAGTGCGAACAGGTATCTCTAGTCTCTAGAAATACATATGCAGCATTCAACAATGAAAATTGTCATATCCGTAAATGGTATAATATCTCCAGAAATCCTCCTCGCGTGAACAGGATTTAAAAGCATTCTAGATTAATAGCAGCTTGAAGACAACTAGTCTGTCCAAACATCAATACTGTACGCTATCAACAGGTACCTCCTTATTGGCTTCAGAAGCTTCAGATATGCACAGAGACTCTGCAGGTCCTAGCTTGAATAACTGGAAATACAAAAGCAGAATCAAAAGTAAGATACTGCCCCTATTCAAGCACAGGCAGCAGATAAGTTCCCGAGGAAAATCAGTAAAAATATCATCTTTTCTGTCTTCTCCTCCATTTGTTCAATTTTCTGCCAAGCCAATACCACAGATAAACACATGTAATCACATGTCATTCTCTTTTGTTGCTAGAGAACATGAGAGAAAATGTTACATGATAGCCGGTGGCTCTCCGCCACTATTACTAAAAGAGGTTCAACTGAATCCCCTCCGCCGGAAAATTGTGCTCTGTATATAGGTGAAATTTAATTTTTTATGTGTATATATTATTTGTTGAATTTCCTAAACATAAAAGAGCACTTTGTTTTACTCCCCTTGATGAAATTCCTGCCTCCACCACTAACAAAGAAACTAACCAAAAATGCAAGCACTCTCACATGTAACTAACTAGATATGGATTGAGAGTAGTAAATATTTATTCACGCCCGGTGCTTACACTAATAAAGTTAAATTGTTTGGTTTGGTGTAAACACCGGGGGCGAGTAAGTATTTACCAAGTACTCCTGCATCCATTGCGAGTACATAAGTGTGGACTTAGAACAAATATAAATTTAATATAAAAGCAACTTCAACTATTTATAGTACAGTGGGTCCAACTATGCAACTAAAAACTAAATTCACATTTGATAAGTAAAAGAAAAATGCATAAAACATGAAAACCAAAATGCTACCAAATTAATCATAATTTCTAACTATCTCATAACACGCGAATTTCAGTTTACACATGAAAATAAGATTTTATATATGTAAATTTAAATACATGCCTGTGAAATTCGAAGATCGAACGCAATGTCGGCACTTGTTTCAGACTCCTGACCAAATCGGAGCTTCGAAAATCCAGAACCCGACCCGAACCGAGCACAAACCGGTTCAGATTTACAAAACGAAGTATCTGATGAAGAAGCTGAAACCTCCGCAATCGATAAAATCTCAAATTGACTCTCTTTCTGCTTAGAAACCTCCATTAACGCCAAAATTTCAAATTATTGTCTAATTATGAATTATATTATGATTATATTGTTCATAGGAAAAGTAAAGTAGGGTTTTTCTGAGTGGAGAGTGTGAAAGCTGTTGGAGTGGGAAGTGAAGTGGAGTGTTAAAAGAGGCGCTAATGAGATTCTGCTTCTTTATATATGGAGTGGAGGAGAGTGAAAGTATATAAAGGTTTTTGATGATTCAGTGTGGACGGTGACAGGGGGAATATTGTACAACTGGTGATCTTTGAATAATTATTGAGACGTTTGATTTGACTTCTAGTAGGACCCTTTCATAAGACTGGTGTTTTAACTCTTCATTTAATTTAAATAAATAAATAAAGCCTAGTCGTTTTGATGGAAAGTACTTCTATTTTCAAGTATAATATTGGCATAAAATTTACTACTAGCTGTACGGTATTTGGTTATCTTTTCTTATAGATTTAGTATTACCTGATTATTATGTAGGAATATATATTACTTTTTTTTTTAAATGTTAGACTAGGTAATTTAAAAATAATAAATATTATTAAATAATATAATTGAGTTACAAAATAAAAATTTAAAAAGTGTATGTTCTTGAAAAATAAATAATGTTAATGAAATATAGATAGATAAAGAAAATAGTCTTGATTTTGAATACGAATTTCATAATCAATTTGAATAAGAAAAATATTGTCCATCATTGATTTTATCAAAATTTTAAATGTCACGACTCTAATTTGTTCAAAGCTCGCTATAAACTAACATCTAAACATTAGTAGAATTAATGAGATAATCTTAATTACTTTTCCTCGCCTAATAATTATACAAAGCTTTTTAAATATATTTTTATATTAATTGTGATTAATGAACTATTATAGTCATTCAATCTTTGAGCTTTGTCACCTATCTCTTAATCAAACTTTTAAGAATAGATTATATCTCCGTATTCAAATATCTTGCCTTTGACCAAAATCTTATAGCATTTTTTTCTCTTACTATTAAATATCCCCTCAGGTACTTCTTCATATCAAAGTTCCAAAAGATATGTTCCTTTTTCTTCTCCTTCCAAAAAAAAATACAAATTCTCTTTTGTGTTTTTGGTTATTAACTAATATTGTAAGAAATTTTAAATTGTTAACGCTAATGACAGTAACATCTAAAAAGAGATTTATATATCGTATATATTTACAAAAAAAAAAAATGGCACAGATCCTAAGAACCTAAAATATCATCAAATGTACAAGGAGTGCCGACTGATATATCAATTTTAGTAACAATTATTCCTTACTTATTTTTGTGTAAACGTTCTCATTTGAAGTATTATTGTTCATCATTATATCCAAATTCATTTATCTCATTTGAATTGGCAATATAGTACTTTTGATTGGATTTATCATTCGAAACATGAGATAATATACCTTAACATTTCTGTTCTTTAATTCAAAAAAATATTGTTAAAATAGGCTGCAAGTTGGTTCATTTGTATTTAATATTCATGATTGTTATAGCAATATTTTTTTTGTTAATTTTAAAGTTATAAATATTAAAAAATAACTAAATGACAAAATTATATTTAATGTGTATGATATAATATACATGCCATCCATCATTAATATTTAACTTACACCTTAAGACTTTGTGCGCTTGTGAAATATTCAAATTAACAATACTCAAGATGGTTCAAACAAAATCGGAAAAAATGGAATTGACATGTTTGATGATTCTTACGTGGTTAGTACTACAAAATTTCCAACGTGTTAAAAACTTGGAAACATTAAAGGAAAATACTTACACAATTTAAATATGGAAAAAATTTATATAAGTAAAATAAAACTTAATTTTAGATTCCTTAATATTAAGAATTTCTATCTAGTTCAAATAAGAAAAAATTTAATAAATAAAAATTAGTAAATTTAATAAATAAAAATTAATTAAAGTCCTAAATATTAGGAATATAAGTAAATTACAATTACAAATTTGTCTAATTTGAAATCTATTTTTAAAGGGCAAAAAAGGCGAATGACATTTCGCTAAGGGCTTTCGTGCTTTTAATATAGTATATTAGTCTTATGATACGCACGTTGCGCGTGTATACTATCTCAATGGAAAATATATATATTAAATTATTATATAAATATTATATTTAATTTATAAAATAAAAGTATATATATTTTTCTAAATGATAAATGTTGTTCTTGTGTACCTAACTCAATAAAAATAAATTACCACATAAATTTTTGTCAATCATCTGTTAATATATTCAATTATAAACTTATTTTAGTTTTATTATTCATCACTCAAAATTCAAAATTTATCAGTCTTCCTTCCCATTTTAATATTCTCACATAAAATTTAAGATATTTATAATTTTAGTTTTAAAATTCTAATTTAAGAACTTCACCAAAAAAACGAATTAGGTTGATGAATGATATTAAATAATAGTTTCCTGCTTATTATCTCTTCTTCTTTTTTCTGTTTGAACCTACGATAATTTTGACCTGACTTTAATAGGGATATTAAATATTAAATTTTTTATTCTTTTTTCCTTTTCAAACCAACAACAATCATGTTTGTTAGGGATATTGTCACGATCCAATTTTTTCCTCTGTTGGGTATCGTAATGGCACCTAGTCTTAGGTACTAGGTAAGCCTAACATTTGTCAAATAACAACAATAATTAAATAACATCTAACAATCTTTGAAATGGAAATCTCTATAAAAAATTTACAATTCCCAAAACGGTAGTACAAGTCATAAGCCTTTCTAGTAGAAGTTTTACATAATGAATATATCATTGTTCCAGAATAGAAGAAATAATGGAAATAAATATATTAGAGGGTGACTTCAGAGCCTGCGAATGCCCGGCAGGTGTATCTTGAAGTCTCTAGCCACACCAAGCATGAGTCTCAAAATCTACTCGATCTGAAGTACCTGGCTCTGCACAAAAAATAATGTGCAGAAGTATAGCATGAGTACACCACAGTGGTGTCCAGTAAGTATCAAGCCTAACCTCGGTAGAGTAGTGACGAGACCAGGTCAAGACACTTACTGAACATGTAAACCTGTGCAGGATGTGACATAAAACTAACAAGAAAGGAATATTAAAGAAATGTCAATATCAACATAAATCAGATTACAAACAGTAATAACGATAAGGGAAACACGGCTGGCAACGAGAAATAACCAGGCAATTAGACAACAAAATAGTTGGAATACGCACAAGGGTAAGTGTGCTCTAGTAGGGAAAACAATGTCAACTCAACAAATTAAATTATTTCTAATACACGACTCCAATAATCTCAATTCTCGTAATCTCATACCATAGATCTCATATTTCAAACCTTTAACACACATGACACTTTGTGCCCACATCTTTCCATCTCACCTTGCACGGCAAAATCCACGTGTTACTCAGTACATAATATCCGTGACAAATGCTAACTAGGATGTTCAAAATACTTTATATATATATATATATATATCGAAAAGTAAAACTACAATTTTTGAACCAAGTAGAAAATCAATGAGAAAATGAGTTTATTTTGGAAATCATTTGGTTAATAAAAATAACTTTTTTCAAATAAATACAACACCGGATAAGCTACTGAATTTAATGTATAATTTATTGAATTACAATACTATAACAATCCTTTTTTTTTTAAGAAAAATAAAAACCTCAGATAGGCCAAGGAGAATAAGTTGAGAAATCAATTGAAGTAAAATATGACAACTAGTAGAAATGGTAAGTATCGAAATAAATGCGGGTTTTAACTTAAAAGTCACACAAGGCGATGTGATATTAATTCTTTTATTTATTAAAAATTACTATATTACTTAACAACTCAGTAGGACTAGAGGCAATGACTCAATGTAGTAAATTTACCTAGAAAGTAAATTTACTAGAATAATAGTATTAGGAAAAAGAACTCAGCAAATGACGGCAAGGCGCTAAGTCAACGACAGTAACTCAATCCTCGAAAAATAGTAAAGAACCGGGAATACAAATTCTCGGCATCTCGTACAAAAGAACTGAAACCAATACAACAAACATGGGATACAAATACAAAATATGTTGCGGCGCACAACCCGGTCCCACCATATAATACCAATACCAAAATTCACCCTTATTATACCATATCAATTCACCTTTATTTCACATGTTGCGGCGTGCAAATCCGATCCCACCGTACAATATCAATATCATGCCAATACACAAAATATATTGCGGCGCGCAACCCGATCCCACCATATAATATCAATATCATAATTCACCCTTATTTCACTTGTTGCGGCGTGCAAATCCGATCCCACCGTACAATATCAATATCATGCCAATACACAAAATATATTGCGGCGCGCAACCCGATCCCACCATATAATATCAATATCATAATTCACCCTTATTCCACCATATCAATTCACCCTTATTTCACTTGTTGCGGCGTGCAACCCGATCCCCCTTACAATAATATAAATCAATAACAACAATTCAGTAACTCCATTTACAAGAATTTCTACAATCAAGGGAATCAGTGCACAACAACGAAGAAACCATATAGAACCCGGAGGAACACAACAAATTTTACAAAATCGCTGAACAGGTAAGGTACATGATAACTAAGAATGCAATCACAACAATTAGGACATGTAGATGATAAATACAAGACATAGAAGAAACTCAATAATTAAGCGGTAACAAGACAATAAGGAAGGCAATAACTTCAACTAAGGCATATAAGGTCAAATAACGAGCAAAAAGTATAGTTAGGTGCTAATAACATCATATAAAGCATGTAAGAGTAGACTAACAACGAGATACTACATGTTATGACAATTCAATTAAAGGCATGGGAAGACACTAGACAATCTAAACCGGTCAAACACCACATATAGACTGGCTACTCACTCGTCACCTTGCGTACACGGCTTTCACATAATAAGATAGTACAATTTACTCAATTCCTAAGGGGTAGTTTTCCCCCACACAAAGTTAGGCAAGACACTTACATCAATTCGGCTAAATCAATACTCAAATTAGCTTTTCCTTTATAAATTCACCTCCGCTCGGCTCAATCTAGCCAAAGGCGACCTTAATACATCAAACAATACAAGAGAAAACAACTTCAGTTAACAAAGCTATGATCTTTATACAATTTGCAAAAAGTCAAC